CGAATGTGCAGGTGCGCTATCGTGCTGCCACCAAACGTTATTAATTAACCCTTTCCACTGTAGCTGCGGTATGACGCTGCTCTGCAACATTCCCATGTACGAGGATGCTAAGAAAGGTCAGATATTGGTACTGTTAAATGACAACCTACCGGACACAATCCTGGAAAAGAAAAATGGCCCAGTGATTTTTCGACCAGTCGACCCAGCCTCGGCCATAAGCTTCGCGCTATGTTGCACACGTGAAGCGCTACATTGCCGTGGGTTGCTTGTTGCCCAAACACGTTGCGTATCTTCGCCATGCAGAGGGCACACTGCCTCATCGGTGAACAAAATGGAATGCACGTCCAGACTGTTTAAAAACAAACGGGCGAATTCCAGGCGCTTCTGTGAATCGCATGCGTCCATCACTTTCACCTGAAGTACACTGTGCCGCTGGAAATATTTTTCCTTCAATATCCGAAGCACAGCATACGATGGGGTTTCGCAATGTTGTGCGAGCTGCCGATTGCCGAGATGAGTGTTACTGCGTACCTCTTGCGCAACCGGGAAAGCTGATACTTCGTTTGTTGCGGTGCGAAGCCGTCCGGTATGTTTGATGTTACAAATATATAATTTGTTGATATTCACCGACATTTCACATTTCATGTAAATATAAGTAAAGAAATGATTAAATGTATATTCTCAATTGGATATGTGAAACACCATGGAAGACCTGATCAATTTGTACAACTAGCAATTGTCTGACTGTGAGGGCAATAGTTGCATTCATAAGGAAATTAGTGTGCTGTCTAATGGTGGCACCAGTGCGACGGGGCATTGTCACGTCAAGCCAAGTCAAGAAATCAATTTATGCACCCATGAAGGGTGAATTTTCAGCTGTAACATGCTCGCGATCGAAACGGTAAAGTGAACAACACTGTAATCTTACCATTTGCTCCCGGCAGTATGATTCCCTTTAGCAACGAAAGCAACCTAATAAAAGCTTGCGCGTTTGTTGTAAGCCAGTCATGATGCGATAGCAATACGGCGCCCACCGACCGGTCAACACATACGGCCAGGCTGTTTTTCTCAGTTGCTAGCACAGCGACCCACTAACCACTTCGCAGGAAACGCTTTTGCTGGTTTTTCACCTGCATGAAGGCCGACTACGGATCGATCGAAGCATGACAAGTTCAGTGCGGCTGTATTGTCCGACTCATATCCAGTTCTCAAAGCTGAACGGCGTTGCGTTCCCTAGGTCTTGCCATGCGGTCGAGGCATGACGCATTCATTGCGGCTGTGGTGTCAGGCTAACGTTCACTTCTCACAGCCGAACGGGTCGGTGTGTTCTGCGATCGTAAGCACACATGTGGCGTCTGTCTCCTCTCACCCCTACCGGCAAAGCAATTTGCGGCATTGGTTAGTTAGCAATTCACCGTACCGGTTGTACGTCAACACCTGAGTGTAGCTGCTCCTGGCTCCGGAGCAGATTCTCAAAACTCGCGATAGGTTTCCTCAGTGGACCTCAATTTCATGTGTGCCTTGATCCTTACTACAAACAGTTGCTTCTCGTTTTTAGTGTTATAATATCACTCCATTGCAGACTGCTATCTAACGACCATCCTCTGTGGATCGGGTTTGATCACATCCGAACTCGCGCACGGTCATCACTCAATCTACACTCTGCACAGTAGATGGCCTTTTGGTCCATTGTAGCCTAGTGCTGGGTCATAACCCTAACCCAGACAAATGAGTTTGTAATGTACCCAGATGTTGGCTAACTGCATTCTGTTTGGTTCGCACAACCCTCCAACTAGGCCATTCAGTGATGGGGGATTTGTGCTGAGCGAACGCATCCAATGTCCTCGCTGCTTTAAAATGTCCGAAGGGTAGTATTCAACCAGTCTGCCAGCTGAATGAACGAGCAGAGTGCTTTTTATAAAGTCGCTGATGTACAAAGGCATTTAACTTGTTTTTACGATGTAACCAGTAATTTATTTCTATGAGTGGTTTTACTAGACGATTTTTGGGGTTCTGTACATAAGGGTTTATTTTGCGCCTTTGGCGGTTTTTTATATATGTTACCTAGCAGAGCGTGGCACATATGTTTATTAGACTCTGTACAACCATAACCACACCTTTCTTTCATCTCCGCTCCGTTAACAGAAACTTGCGTTCTTAGCATTTGCATTTAACGAAAAGGTACTCTTTGTCGCTCCCCCACACACACGCACATGTGTCTTTGTTCTGGATATCTTAAGCCAGTTCGCAGACGGAAATTTCATCAAAGCATAAAGATCTATTTGTGGCAAGTTACAGGGCGTTTTAGATGTATATAAGATGGTCTACCTTATTTCCATTCAATTGATTGGTGGAACGCTACTTTACGCCGTCGCGCGTAAATGCTGCGCTGGTATCTACAACCACAATACATGGTACGCAGTGCACAGAAGACATTTTTCCATTTTTGGTATTACTTACCCAGTTATGGAAATTTTAAAGTTTATTCACCTTTCTGGGCCAATCACAGAAGACACACTCACGTTCTCACCACAGTTCATATCTCTGTGTAGTTCCGGTTCATTTCTACTGCCATCGTAGCGAAGCATCCAACCACAGTACCAATTCCACCGGTTCTCACCTTGCTAGCATGCACCTCAAAATTTCATGTTTCGGATGTCTGCTAAAGGCATGGACGCAAGGTGACTGTGTACACAGATGTCACTTCGGCTGCTGCTAAGAGCTAACAAGCAGTGGGGTTAAGCGAAACATGCAAGGGAACACCGCTTGTGGTATCGCCTTCGGTTCTCCCAAAATTCTCAATACTGGCTTATATTCTGGATGTTTATATAGCTTCTGCCTTGAGATGTTTATGGAGGCGAACAGCACCAAACACTGCCACTCAGATGCTTGGTTATGCACGCAATGGGACAAAGCAAGTCGGGCAACAAAGGTCGTTTCAGTTCCGTCATTCAACTGCGTTCTTTGCACCAAATTGCGGGTTGCCCAGTTATCTTGTCTGACAACACCGAAGCAATGGCACGAATGATAAGGCAGGAGGAATGCCACAAGATCAAAAAACTGTTACAAGGCAGTAAGAAGGTAAGGAACGTACGAACGCCACCGACTAGGTGATTGCGTCATATTTGACGGGATTTATCCGCTTTGTGAGCCGACTTCGAGATTCACATCCAGTACTGCGACGAACACTAGTCCAACGTGGATCTCTTTCGCCAGTTAGTTGGCTATCCACCCAGGCGGGCTGATATAACTAGACGCCGTGTTGGTAAACGACACACCGTTGTGGTCAGTTAGCAGATATGTAACAGACATGGGCTATTCACTGTAGACGGTTAAGGTTCAACAGACACCACAAGGTACTACCAAAGGGCCTGTTGCCTGCGTCACGTAAAGCGCCTCATTATGACACTGTAACTCGGCACCGAAAATTTATACTCCAGACGTATGTACACGATGGACTTTGCCGGCTCTATGTGGCCCAAGCCGGACAGCGAGGATACAACACCAGAAAACACAGGCATTATCTGTACCTACGTGCTCGCTCCTCGGGCACAACAATAGGCAACATAGGAAATCCAATGAAGTGGTCAGGATAGCACAATTCAAATATAAATCCGTAACATCGTAGTCCCATACTGCACTAACTGCACACTTGGCCGGAACAGAGCTCACCTACATTTGATTGTAGTCAATTGAACACCGGACTTAGGTTCGGGTAGGGCTGGTTCAAACCACAAACTTACACATTTGATGCCTTTACCAGATGTCTGCAATACGCCACAGATATCGGCAGTCAAACGCTCTGTCCATAACTGTCCCACAGCACGCGGTAAGCATGTTTGATTCATGCAGAAACACTGGCTGCACGGTTGCAGTGGATGACTTTTTTGGCCAAAAGACATGGAGTCACCTAGTTATAAGTGCTCGGGGCATTGAAAACACTCTAGAACCTTGCTAATACATGCGGTAACCTCTTCGGGGATGCCCTCGTCACAGGTGACACAGTTACTCAGATAAGTAAACTGACTGACTATTTCGATTGGTTGTTCGGCTCCGTAGAGAACTGGAAGCGAATAAGCCCAGTCCTGTAATAATGCGTTGCCATCTGAAGCTGCGAATGCAGCGCCTAAGATAGGGGCGCTATGTGCCAGCATTTTAACATGTTTTGTGACAGCAGCGTCAGACATAAACAACTGTGTCGTTTGTGTTCTCTAAGTCTGGCAGTTGATCACTCAACAGTCTTCCTTCCATAAAGAACTTTAGGGAGGTGGGCCTATCTTGCCCTCGATCAGTTCGATCTCCATAGTAAAAAGAATTTGAAAAATATGGTTTTTGACACACCTCACTTATCGTTGCGCCCTCAGGCGAGTTTATCCATGGATCCTTACACATCCACGAGATTGGTGATATAGGGATCATATAATGGCAACAAGCACGGCCCTCGTTGTTAGGCATGATCTACAGTATTAAAGGCGGTCTTTAAGTCCGGGTTGATAGCCGCTATATACTAGAGTCAGCGCCAGGCGAATCAGCAAAGATGCGGTCAATACGCCTCTGCTGCGTTGGGAATCGGGAGGGATCTACGAGCCACCGCAGAATGATGTAGTGACCAGTTGGAGGCAACTGAGTTGAAACTACTACAATGGAGATTTGCACAGGAACTCCACTGATCTTTATAACGATCAGACTCGCTGCTGTGGAATGCCAGTCTTGTCGCCAAATAGCGTCGAATAGAGTAACCGATCCGGTCACTGTCGTGTCACGACTGTTACTTATTATCGATGGGAGAAGGTCACCCACGGTAAGTGACTCGTTCCACTTCTCGGAAAATGTGTTCTTTGTACTAGTCCAAAAAGACCTCAGTCGCTTGAGTAATCTGCACTAACAGCAAAAAGGGGTATCCAAAACTTGGGTGCGTACGTGCAATCTTGATACCACAAGTATGGCTGAGTCCACATCCCTGTTGGCATGCTGGTAACCGAATTTTCCATTCTTTCCAGACAGAAATCCCCACTCCGGATACTGTGCTCAAGCAACCAAGCCCTCCAAACAATGACTTTCCATCGCCGGATGAAATCAAAAGTAAGGGGTTTTTACTCGTGTACAAAGTGCACACAACTCTCACATTTTGGTTGTCTACCCTCACACATACCATGGTAAGCAAGCAAGCAAGCAAGCAAGCGCTGAGCACACCAGTTACTTTGCGTTCAGGCGTAGGAGTATGATGATGGTTCACTTCGTCGAAAGCGGCATTTTCGAACTTTACTCTACTGCGTTTCTCGAGTGTGTGGTGCAAGGTGAGGCAATTGTACGCTTCCACCGACTGGCGATTTGCCGTCCATATGACCGTAACTTGCGGCCAAATGAGTCATGCACCATACTTTCTGGCCGATGCTGTGTCGTCACATCTGACAGAGCTCACACAACAAGTGTTGAATTTATCAGCCATCCATGAGTATTGGCTCCATAATTTATTGGGAAGCCTTGCTAGCTTTGCTATACCAGAATTCACACTAAGTGTTGAGAGTCCCCTCGCTGAGTGTGAGAGCGTAAATATCTACAATTCGACTGACTAATTCATCGGATCCTCTATTCCAAGCTCCAGCACTACAGTACCGGAGTTCTACTCTTAAATCGGGGCACCAACCTCCCACTTAGGCGGAAATTCGTTCAAGTTCGAAGATTTTGCCTAAATCCATACAACTTTAATGTGCTAGGACCACGCTGTTTTCGTAGTTACCAATGATATCGTGAAAATTAATGTAGAAAATGCCCTACCTGTTGCCTGTGTAACCGAGATATGGGGAATGAATGGGATGGATTCTGAGTAGCGACTTCCTCAATGAAACCTAAATTGAGTGCATCAACGGACCAAACGTGCCCCCAGCCTTTGCTCGCAAGATCCCTAACAACGTATGTTCAATGTTTTGCACCTACTAGTTTTGAAATAAATGTTCTGCGTCGACAACTCATTTACCCTGTCGAGATCATCCTGTAATACTAGGGGGCCGACAATTGTTTTGATGGTCCGTCATATCTTGAGATCATCAGCGAATAGTAATAAATTTACGGTGACCACCCTAGCGAGATTATTTATGTAAATCACTGGACTACGATAGGTTTAAAGTTGGTGCTACGAACGTTCACATTCAGTTGCCGTTGAGGTTGGAAGTTTCTTATCCAACTGAAAATCGGCTCACCCATTTCACAGCTCTGAAGCTTGTGAAGGAGGATGTAGGGCTTCAGACGGTCGAATGCCTTTGAGAAGTCTAGATAAACTTCATCAACTCCCACACCGCTGTCGACGGTTTAATTTCAACTGTAGCGAGAAAGTAGCAGGTTTGTGGACAAGACCGATTCGAGCGGAATCCGTACTGATCTGGTTAAGTGACACTGCATCTTTCGAAGTAACTCATGAGCGCTTCGGTTACAATTGTCTCCATGGCTAGAGGAAGGCACCGGAACGAGTGATAACAAGCAGTTTTTGGCCGGATCTGCACGACTTCCCCCTAGTGGATATGACTGACGACTCCGTGTTTCCGCATTGTTGGAACCCGCATCTCGTCTAGAGCTCGTTGGAAAATGCCGAGAGATAAGTATACTCAAATTCATGACAGCCGATTTGGGACCATATTATCAACACAAGAAAAGGTATAATCGCGCATGGAAGCGAGTTTATTCCGTACCTCGGCCACTGTGAACGAAAGATGGCAAAGCTGTGGTGGTTGTATGGCTCGCGTAAACAACATGTGAGATGAAGCTGTGCTCTGGAGGCTAGAGAGGATCGCTGACGGGAGGCGTTGGCCGCATGCCTTTCATTCTATGTATATCCAGGAATCCCACACTGCACTAAACGGAGTTCGTTAGTGTCCGTAAAAGAGTTTGCGAATCGAACAAAACTCCACGATAAGATCTTGTTGATGCTTTAGTTGGTCCGCGCGTACGTGGTTCACGCGATTCTGCTGGGTCATGTAGGCTTCCTAATTTTCGGCACCTGGTAAGTCGTTGTATTTTTTCCAGAATAAAACTCTAAAGTCCATACACCTACACATGCTACCCCATGTAATGGGTTTTATTCTCACCGAGTATGGGGGCCTGATCCTCGAAACCATCGTTACTAACTTTTTAAATTTATCTACAAAATTCCGCCGGGCGACTTCAGCGAATCGTTAAGCCAGAAATGACCAGTTGGTTGCATCAATAAATGCAATCAAAAAGCTGTATGCTGTGATGAGCTGATAATTGTCGGCGTTTTCTGCGGAATACTCTTCATGATAAATGCAGTTGTACGGTAGTCTTGCATGGTAGCTGAGGCCCAAAGGACTATCAACGGATACCGTTTCTATCACTAGTTAATCTCTGGTGAGAAAGAGATCCAAGATACCTGTTTTTTCCGTCCTGCTTCTTGTGGGTGAAGTAAAGTTGTTATAAAGTGGTAATCCAAACATTAGCTACTGTAATTCCGTTTTGAAGTGTTTATTAAGACGGACTGGGTGTCTAGGGTATGAAGATTAAAGTCACTCACCACCTGCATATGACTGTGTGACTATGCGAGAAATTTCATCGGAGTGGAGGCTATACGATTGTCCATTTCTGAAGCACATGACTGAGGGCAGTACAGGACACCCACTAAATATGTGTCGCTACATGCAAGGTGAAGGCGGTGCCAAATTGCGTCGACAGTATGGACCGCTTGCTTGTCGGTTAGATTACGATGCCTCTCTCTGCGGTAGTAGGGAAGTACACCGTCTCCTCTACTCGATCGATCGGTTCTCACACGAGACATCCAAGGTAGTACGGCGTCGGCATCAGTAATCAGTTCACTCAACCATGTCTCAGTTGCCATGAGGAGGTCCCACGACATCGAGACCTGAGACATCCAAGATCTATCAGTTTGTTGAAACTCTCTTGTGCGCTGGCATATAACAGGTGAGTGCCTAATGCGTTAAAGTTTAGTGGAAAATTTAAACAGCAGGTATGAGACCTGGCCGACACTCTTGAGGTTGGCGGCTATTCGTTTTTTGAAGAGTCGCCAGCTCTGGAGCTGGGGTTCGGATACATTGTTACCTCAGTCATTCCACATCATTATGCTCCTGGTGGGCACTTGTATCCTACGGTGTTCCTCCAGATGTTATGACAGTCATTACATCAGTCGCTGCGCTAGAATCTAACTTTGCCGATCCCATTGAGTAACCAGTAGCCTGTGGTGGTGTCTCCGTTTCCTACAATAGAATTCCTATTGGCTCCGTTGTCTCAGACTAACACCAACCGCAGCCCCCGAGGACCATCTATGTTGTAATTAGGTGACAGAGAAATCCTTGTCAGCGATGCATCAACGCCATTTTCTGAAGAGAGACGTAGCGCCATGGCTCCCACTCATGTGCCAGAGCTTTGTCGCACGAGGGAGATTGTGGTTCGGGACGCTGTGAACAAGGACTGTTTTCATACCATTGTGTTTCGAATTCCCTTTGGTTGTCTGTGTCCTTTAAACGTTCCTTCCACGGGATGTCCGGTCGTATGTGCACTCAGCTTGATGCTTCAAGGAATCGATACAAAGACAGCAGAATAGCGTCCGTCTCATCGCCGAATCGGTTGCTACCCGAGCTATTCTGGCTCACCATAGTGAGTCCTGGTCAACTGCGATGGGTCTCATCGTCCTAAGGTCAGCACGGATGCCGGTGGTACTACAGCTGGAATCCGATTGACTACGACCTTCTATCAGCTCACTCTTAATTATATTGGATTTAGATTCCTGGATGTTAATGCACACAGACTTAAGGCACCATAATTTCGCTTGGTGTCTATCGGCTTACGAGCACTAAGTTCTGTTGCTTTCTGTGGATTCGTGGACGGTACTGGCGATAGCGATCCATGGTGCGACACCTTAGTTTTACCCAGTCCGGTAAGCGGAGTCACGGGTATTTATTCTGGCGTTTTCGTGGAGGCAACTGATGGGCATTACGTCCAGTTATTTTTACTGTTGACTGACTAGAGCTTTAGGGCTCTAGCGTGACAACTGAAATACAAGATACGATATTCTTAAAGAAAGCGGGAGCAGGCACGATATGAGCGACTTGTGCACTTAAGGCAGCGAAGTGATTTGGAACAGCTGGAGACAGACGCTGAGATGACGCTGGGATTCCCTGGTTCTCTTCTTTGGTCTGAATGGGGACTTGGTAGTGTTGCGCCGAGGTGCAAGCGTAGCTTCGTTTTCTTCCAGAGATGTAACACTGGCATGCCCCAGTTGCTCGACTGTTTAGTCAGCCTTTCACATATTTTCATTGATGAAAGTAAACAGCTAACAACCGGGTTAGCTTTGCATGCCTGGCAGAGCCAAAACTCAGAATGGTAATAATTTCGTATATTGAGCGTGAAACGTTTCAGCGAAGCAGAAACAAATTTGTCCTACTTTAGCCACGTTAACACATAAGTCGCATTTACGTTTTAGTGAATCATGTTCATTAATGACCTGGATATTTTGTGGTCTCGTGTAGTTTGTAACCTCTGTCAACCGGCCAATGTTTCACGGCTCACCCTGATGGATGGGGTGAATCACCGCTTCGACTGTACGCTGAGTCGCTTGGATGTAGTCGGTAATAAAGCAAACAGCCAGGTCAATCGATGTTGGCTCTCTCTGAACAAGTGCTTGTAACTGAAGCTGAAAGCAAAACGCTGGACAGAACAAAATAAAACAGATTGATCCACAGCCTTCTTTAGAAACACCGTATTGAAATAAGCTTAGGATTGTTGGATAGCCCCGATATTTCTGTCTAACGATATTACATAAAAGAGGGGTGGCTCAAAAGCGATAAAGTTTAAGCCGGTTTAAGCAGGAGGTCGTCTAAGACATCTGGTGTTGCCGGAAGAGCAAATCGTACAAATAATCCCAAGTATGAATGATTTTGTAAATCAGATTAAAACGAGCTTACATTGACTCAGCTGAGAGAAGACGAAAAGAAGCAAATCAGCAAGAAAGAGGGATGCGCGAACGACGCATCCGCCAGCAGGACATTCACACAACTGACGACCGATTTCTTACTAGAAGTTGAACTGCACTATGTGAAACAACTAGTTTATTGGGGTCCAAGAAAAACGCAAAAAGAGGGAGAAATTACGTGAAAACTATACAGTGTGTCGGTGAACTCAATGGATAGCTTACGTCTGCGGGCCTATTTTTTATCTTGACTCAATGTACCTGGCCCAAGTTGTCTAATGCAGGCGAAGCAGTTCATCGTCGAGTCTTTTTGCGTTAACATAGGATGGACATATAACACAAGTAGGGAGGGCGCTCCAACTTCAGGACATTCAAAGGGCCTCATTTCTACCCTCATTACTCTCTATGAAAATGCGCGCTAAACTATCCAACGGAATTTGTGAAGCATATGCTTTATCACTTGTACTAACTACTTTTTCACTGTGCGTTATCTATAACAAGCTATTTAGTCCATGGTCATCGGATGGTGTGAAGGTGATATTTTGCCATATATACAAGTAAATAAAAAACTAAATATTTATTCTCGGTTATGCGTGGCACGCCCGTAGGGGCATGATCAGGTAGGTGCAACTGTGCAGACATTTGGTGGCAATTATAACAGCGACAGTACAAAATTGCTCAAACGTTCATGGTTAGAGAAATAGACACCATTCGCAAGTCTCCTCAAGCTTCGCATTTAGCGAATACTGCATTTTTCATTCCATCATTACTATTAATTGCTTTATGTTACTGACCAAAGCCTTTGATCGTAAAGCCGTGGCCAGTTGCCTACGTTAAAACATCAATACAAGAATGGTTTTCAGATTCCATTTATCCTCCTAAGCTATCCTAGTAGTTTGCAGAGCAAAAGTCGTCGGAACGGCACCAGCATCTCAGTAATCTTAGTAAGTCATAACATGCGAAGTGTCAACATATTGTGGATAGCAGAATATGGACAAACGTCTTCACTTATGAGTAGAAGGATTGTGCCGAGTATTTTGTGTTCGCCGCAATCAACCGACAACTCAGATAAATCAAGTACCTCTCAGGCAAGCACCAGACGGCTGTTTCGCCCTATTGTGGTCCGTCAGTGCTGCGCATCCTTCGGTTCTCTATGGAGGATCGAACCCATGACTGCTGGTTGATACAAGCCACCAGCAGTCATAGGCTCGAGCCTCCATAGACGACCGAAGGATGCGCATCACTGACGAGACTCAATAGAGCGTAACGGCCGTCTGGGGCTTGCCTGAGAGGTAGTTGATTTATCTGAATTGTCGGCTGATTGCGACGAACACAAAGTACCCAAACGTCTTTGTAGTTCTCACCCCATATTTGGGGAATAAGGTGTTCTATGCACAAACTGAGTTTTATGCGGTGCTGCTCGTTCCCAACTCTGCACTCCACGACCGTTTTCCTTCTAGTCTGTAATCTCCAAGTATGGATACTTTGAGCTGAGAGTAGAACCAGGCAAGTTTAATAACATCTTACTCCTAGTCCACTGAGCGCCGCAAGCAGCGCTTAACACAGCTCCGGCTATCTACATGAAGAATCCAAAATAGGGCGAAGCCGAAGGTAGGGTACTGGGTTGGGGGAATTCGGCGCTGTAACTGCACTTTGGAAGCGGTTCCAGTGTTCGAAATGACAGAAGTTTGCTTCAAACGAACCTTAGCCCTAATCGAGATTGGCTATCACAGTCCACACAAGTACAGCGTGCTGTAAAACCGAACAATGATTTCGACAAACACGTCCTGGTTGGTTTCCGCCCTTACAGTTTAGTGACTGCACACGACCTTGCCTATTTACTACCACGATCAGTCACCGTTAGCACTATCCGAATCCAAGCAAACACCGGGTGCGTCAAAGCTGCTTGGGTCCAAGCGAGTTACCGTTGGTAGAAGGTGCTTAAAAATGTCTTGCTGTATGTTCTCGAATGTCAAGCACTGTCCGCAACAAGAATGTTGTGGATATTGAAGAGATATTCGTGTCTGAGCCCATCGGTTGGCAGACCCAGAATGGGAACAGTCGGTTATGTGGTTAACTCTCATCCCCCGTTCAAATGATCGTGGAAACCATGCTGTGATGGTAGCCAATACCCACAGTTACTGGTTATCCCACTCCATAATCTCAGATTACTGCTTGATAAATCTGCCCGAAGGTTGATCATCTGTTGGGTAGGCAAGAATCAGCATTCCTACTTGTTCGAACAGTTATTCCGTGTAGTAAAGGAAATCATTGCACTTCTAGCTGGATCACCTTCCGCTCATTGTTCCTGATGCACCGGGCCGTCTGTGGCACATTCAGCCTTTGATCAATCGCTGGTGACGCTTGCCCCCGTGAATTAATCTCGACGAAGTGGGGGTTCTCACTGAATTGCTGTATATAGTTGGAGGGCTATCGTTTGCCGGTTAGCCTTCAACTGAACTTATACCATGCACGAATTGAGTAGATTTCATGGTCAGTTGCGGTGCACTATGAGGACAGGGTTTAAGGTATTATGCTTGTGCTCGTCGGTGCACCTGAGAAGAGTGTGGATTTATAAACATCTGTCTGCCTTGTTTAAGTCAAACATTTTAGTTCGAAGGTTTCCCATCCAAAAATAACACAAAGCAAGGGTATCTTAGATTGCTTGTCCATGAACCCACGTGTTCTCCGAGTTCGGGTACTTTGGCTATACGCATTCCACTGCCCATCGAATTAAATGATTCAGCTCGCAGCACTGGTTCGCGAGTTAATTGGACGAAACCCAAGGTATTAGCGTTATTTTAGAGGTTCGGCGATTCGGGGTAGCTATTGTGCCAGCTCTCCTCAATGTCATCTACCTGAACAAGGCAAAGTACTTGGTCTACTCGATGCAGCGGTGTTGCATTCCAATACAGTGGTACTCAAACACTTCATCTGTGCAAAGTAGTGTGCGTAAGTGGCAAGTTTTGTTACCGCCTCGATACCGGCAGCTAACTCTACTAGGGGAATAACATCACTAACCGTACCCAAGTGGCAATTTCAAACCCGAACACGTATAGTGGCTACGTTTTATTTGCCCAACAACCTGATGCTGTGTGCATGCCCCGGAAGCGCAATCAGCTCCATCCTAAAATGGTTGTACGGGCATTGTACAGGCATTTGGAATCCGTTAAACACTTGCAAAACAACCAACATTTGCGATGGGGTGGTAGGTCCGATAGCAAGCAGCTTAGTTAAATCTCCATCATGTTCAACGTTTGTTACGCATTGCGATAAGACAATTCGAAACCTTAAAGTGATGAAAAATGAGGGTGGATGCCTCCCGTTTGTTATCGTTGGTTGTGTGGAGGCATTATTATATCACTTTACAACCTAGCATGGCTATTGGCACGTCGTGACTGATTAGTCCATTGATCTGTTGCTAGAGAGGCCCCTGGCCTCTCTACCATACAATGAGTGGTGCATAGCATAAGAAAACAAGACTGCATGGACTGCTGCTCCACAGTAAATACCTAATAGATTACTGTTTTCATTGTGATTAGATTTCCGGTGAACGCGATCAGTTCTGGCCAAGGTGAGTGCAAAGCCTATGAACAGCCGCCTTTGTGGCCATCGGATGAGAGCCGAAATGAAGAAATGAAGTCGATCCCTAACGGTCAAACACTATCACCCAGTTAGGACAAACGAATGTTTCCTGCGAGCACTTACCTTTTGCAATACACTTTCCATTCGTTTACATTTTGGATTTCTGCGATAACAGTAATGAAGACAATAGTCTGTATGTTTGAAGTTCTATACGAAACGTTGCGCAGTGATGCCACCTTGTGATTTCAACCAGACTAATCATCAACGATTTTGCATTCCTCTCCTCGAGTAATCGAATTTGACAGGTGCAGATACTTGGCTGCTCTTTGGCCCCTGGTTTAACGGTACACTTAATTAAAAGTTTACCTACAGACTATGTAAACTTATCGGCACATCGCTTATTTTCTGCCATTTTTCTTCCTCAGAATTGTACTACTCAATGTCCTCTTCCGACGGCAAAGGATTACTGCTCACAAACATAAGCAAAGCGCTGCAACTCCTTGGCCAATGCCCAACACAAGCTTCCATACAGGCAATTTGCGAATCGTATACGCCAGACGAGCAAGCCAAAAATGGCACGTCCGTTGATACATCATTTACCTTGCAGTGGTTTACAATACTCATCCGATGAGTTTGTTACACGTAGTTCTGCAAGGAAACATGGTGTATCTACCGTTTGGGAGTTATGTTCTGTGGGACCCTTTGTTAATACGGGCAACTGTCATAAAACACACTAGTTCATTTCTTATCGATGGAGCCAAAAATGCCGCTAAACCTCTTATCAAAACAGAGCTTCTCTTATATTGTTTTGTTTATCTTTTATATTTTGCAATCGTGTCACATTACTCGAACACAACGCTTGAGCTTCTGGTCACCGAACACCACCTTTCACCACCGACCGGTCCGGGTAGACCGCGGGTGGGTCAGTCAAGTTAAGGCGCTGGTGTCATCATGACAACATGTACAAAAAGCATTTACCTGTACATTTCTCCATCGGACGTTAGTTTGACGCTGACCAAGGATAAAAATGAGACAACTGAATAATGGCTTTTGAGGGGTAAAAAGGATGCGCCCAATGGAGCAATGGTTTACAATGGGTAAAAACGCAAATACTCGACAAGTTACGTTGTATGGTTAATGTTGAAGAGCTCACCAAGAGTTTTGTAGTAGCACAAATGTGAGTATTCCTGCCTAGAGTGTAAGGGGTTTGCTTCAGTAAACTATTTTGCTGTTACTTGATCACGTTACTTGGTCACGTGCCACATCACCTAATGTTATTGTTCAGCGGTTCGTCAAATTGTCTTTTGAGCAGTTAGAAGGGGTTAATTACGAGCACTGAGAGGGAATTTCAAGGTTGTGCTCCTCAGAAGGAGAAAACATTTCGTCGGCATTCTAGTCGGCTGTACTGCGTGGCCAGCTTAAAGTACTGTTCCCTCAGATATGTGTTTTGCTAGGTTTTAAAAGAGGGTGGCAACTGTGGTTGGATTTTTCGGGATCTGACACGCCATTATGCGATCGTCCCGTAGACACCAATAACGTCTGCTGTGCATAGCAACAATTTCCAGCCTGAATTGATTCGGAAGGTGGGATAAAGTTTTAACATCCTTTGTCAACTTGCTTTGTGCAATCTCGAGCACGGCTGCCACGCTTTGATAACGTACTCCGCCCTAGCCTCACTTACTCGTCAAGCATTTGCGGAAACTTTGAGGCGTTGCACTTGCCGAACGCCTTTTGAAGAGGCTGAATTGCTGATTTGCTTTCTTTGTTATTCTTTCGGTCTACCTCAAACAGCCAAACTCCTCCTGCACAAAAACACCCAGATCACTCTCGTGAGAAACATGCTATCGAATTTGTGGCCCTTTGCCCGTAGTAGTGAGTGTTCCGATGGTGTATGTTCAGAACTTTGCATTTGACCACATTGAACTGCAGCATGTTCTCCATGGAACATGTGAAACATCTATCCAGATCATCTAACAGGGCTGTGTGATTTTGCATTATAGCTGTGGTTCTCATCCTCTTTGTGGCTGTTACACACAGAGTAGGTCCACTATAAACAATTACCCCTCGAAATAATTTAGGTTAAAATCATAATTAACTATTGTATATGTTACTTTATATTACGGGTATGAATACTATTTTTAATTGCTTTCAGACTTTCAAGCAAGGGAAACACCTACATTTGAGCAATTTTATTGAATCATAAGGTTAGGTACGTTAACCAAGCGGTTGATATTGCTTAACATTGACAATTTCTGGTATATTTGGTGCGAGTTGAGCTAATGCACATTGTAAGTCATGAACCAAGTGCATTTGGTTCCTTGATTTGTTGTGCGATCCCTGACCAAACATGAACAGAAGTTAGTGGCTTCTCATTTGTTTCAACCATATCTTCCAAGTCTTTCATGGAGTACAGCTTCCCACCACCATTCTGTATCGATACGTTCTGAACACTAATCGCCAGTTTTGTCCCGTCTACCTTATAAACATTCGGTCACTTCTTTACCTGGTCGGCTTACCTATGCTCCTACATTAGTGTTCACGGAACTATGTAATTCGACCCGGTGAACGACTGCCTGACTCAAAAAAAACAACCATCGGCGAGCGAATCGGTAGATGCGCCATTTAGCCGCGCAGCTTTGTAGACTTGTGTCCGCATTTTAGACAATAAAATGTACCGCTGTGTTCCAAAAGTAAATATATTAAGTTTTTATTAAAATGTGTGTAAGACTGACTCGAAATTACAAGTTATGTCCTAAAAACATGACCCTTCGGAAGATACACAGTGGCCCCAACGTTTTTCCTCTGATAGTCGCAGTACTGTAAGTTCTTTTCCGTAAAAGTGCTAAGTTCATTCGTAACAAATATTTGGTGTTTTCCACCGTCCCATCATGATAACCTATCTACTTAGATTTCAACTTAGAGAAGAGGTAGAAATCACAGGGAGCTCGGTCAGGGCTGTAAAAAGGTTGTGGTAATTTGAGGATGTTTTTCTTCGCCAAAACTCTCGAAATGAAAGCGAAGTGCAGGACCTAATCATCTGCAACATCCATTCGGACTCGTTAGACCCGATGTCGAAGTCGTTCCAAGACACCTTTGTAGAATGCCTGAGTAATTGTCCTGATAGTATTAATCGTTTGTGGACAATTCCACGGCTGTCGAAAAAATAGGATAATCCTCGTTTCCGCCAGTATTGCTCACGCAACTTTCCCGTTTTGATTGTTTGGTGACAAGATTGGCCTTCCGGAAAGAGGTTAGTATTCAACATTTTCCTGACCATCTTTGAAACTTGATGCCAACTACAAAACATATTCCTCGATAGACTGATATCTTTAGAAGCTTTGGATAAATTTTCACATGTCTCTGTGTCAGACTTCTTGAATTTCACACAAAATTTGATGGCGTACTGTACGACATTTCGCCCCACCACAAATGCAACAAGGTATTAACACACGACCTCAAACTACTGTATCGCAGGAATGACCCAGCCGCTCGAGTTGAAAGAAGTCTAGACCTGCAGCCAAGACCTCTATTCATGCGCCGACATTCACTCATGTGGTGTTATTTTTTCTAGTAGTACATTGGAAAATCAGTACTCTTACATTTATGACATAGCAGTGTCACCGAAGACTGTCTAATTCACTGACCACACATTATTGACTAGTCAATGATGGCTTATTAATAGTAATTACAATACAGATGATTTTTTAGTAAGTTTGTTTGGTGATTATCCAATCTTCGTATTTGTGTTTACCCCCCGTCTAATTCCATTTCACCCACTTGGGTGTAATTACCTCCAGGTTGAGAATCACTGCACTATAGTGATAACCCACCATATCTTCATCTTAACGGCGAATAGTGGCACATTTGTAGATAGCACCCCCGCAAGGTCATTTAGATCAGCCAGGGATAGTCCTGGCCCCACATTGGAATTCCATTGGGTCGGATAGGGTGTTGCAAACCAACACCATCAAATCCCGTTGAAAGATAAAGATGCCTATGCAATCCAAAACGGGATCGCCGATTTCACAACTCTGAAGCTCGTGAAGTGAAATGCGATGCTCCAGGATGTCAAAGGTTATTGAGAAAGCCACTTAGATGACATCTGCTCTTACACCAGCATAGACCGACTCAGTCCAGCTGCATGGATTTTTAATAGTTTCGGAACGCATGACCAATTCGGGTATAGTCTGTGATGCTCCGGAGCGAGATTTTTGTTACTTTCCGAGTGCCCCAGCGTGCCTCCGCGACATTAGATCCCATGACCTTGGCGATCAATGGATGTATTGTTATTGGCCGCTAATTCACTGGCTGTGCACAGATGCTACTCTTGTAGATTGGGGTGACTATCCCGTGCTTCCACATTGTGCGAATGTGCATTTCATTAAGACATCTGAGTAACCGTTCAGCCAAATTCATGGCAACCACTTTCAGTTCCTTTATGCACTAAGCGAGGTGTATTTGCACCGACATAAGCTGCTTCAATAAACCCGTGGCATTAAAGGATACCTGGTTAAGCCGTGGAGCTGCACGATCCTCTTGGTGGGTACGGTTGGATGGTCACCCAAGAGCAATGACCGACTATTGCGCCGTTCACTTCAATCCACATGTAGGTAGAGCATGACTTCCTCCTTGTCTGTAAATTAGCTTGGATTTAGAGCAATATTCTATCACAAGGTGGTATTGGTACTTTACTCTATCCTCCCGGACGATTTTAAAGCAATAATGACTTTGCGATGATTAGCCAGCCCAGGTGTCCATGCACAGAGGCTATATATATATATATATATATATATATATATATATATATATATATATATATATATATGTGTGTGTGTGTGTGTGTGTGTGGATGGAACTATGGGTGGTGCAGCGCAAGCCACCCATATATATATATATATATATATATATATATATATATATATATATATATATATATATATATATGGTTTGGCGGCGTCCGTATCCGGATTTGCCTGTCACTGTGATGTCCATGGGGACAGTCACAGGACGCCTGCGCCTACAGAGGGACCATGGGTGGCTTGCGCTGCACCACCCATAGTTCCATCCACACACCCCATATCCGGTGTAAACCCGAAGGAATAAGACCGGGAGGCATGCGGATGGGAGCCACGTTTCATCAACGGAGCCGGCCCACACTCCTTCAACAAGCAGAACGGAAGCATTCCGGCCTAATTGGGAATTCATACACACCAGACGTACACGAGGCGGTGGCTGGACCGTAGCCCGTTCCACACAGGTTGCATGGAACCACTCTTTGAGCCTAGCACCGTCACGAGGACGGTGCACTCCGTCCCCTCCAGCGACGACCAACTGTCTCCTGGAGCCAGTATGGACGAGGTAGTGGGTAATAGACAGGTAGGCACCTTGTCAACATTCACATCAGGCGCATCCACACAGGGGAGCTCAAGCAACATGTACTTCTGAAATACAAGATTACTCATCACGCAGGCAAACGTACCACATATGCCGCCGTATTGGCCTGGATTAGTAAATTGAATGGGAACATACTCATGGTGCTTCTATTCCGCGTACAATTGTGCCTTCTCCGGCACCT